TAAAGAGGAAGGAAGACCCTAGAAAATATCATAAATTTTTAACAGATCGGGAAAGGCTAGTCGGTGAAGAATTATTATGTCGCGGTATACTAAAAAGTAGATTAAGTACTGCATGGCTTGATGATCTTATGGAAGAATGGGAAAAAACTTATAATCAATTCGTACAAATTTTTAACTAGACAGTGCATAAATCATTTTCCCGTAAAAAAACTTGAATTAAGTTACTTATATAAACTTCAGTGATTATTTACCCACTATCTGTGGTACCGCATCTGTGTAACAGATTTCATATATATTTCATTTTCCCACATAAACCGGATCGTTAATTTTTGCCTGTGAAAACTTCTTTGCTCTGTAATAAGAATGCATGCAAACGAAACTCGAAAAGGCAATAACGGAGAATAGCATAACAATTTTTATTAGTGCGGTTTAACGGGTTATAAGACTTTGAAATCTCTACCATCTCTCCAAAATGGATCTTAAATCGTTTCGAAAAGTAGTGAAACGGGTGTTGGGTGACGCTGTTGGGTTATTAAAGGATCGCATTAGTGCCGATAATCCCCATCCAGTAAGAAAGCTAGGATCAAAAAAAATACAATTATTGGGTAGATAGTTTAACCGTCTCACATGTACACGGTAATGGCCGTTCTATTTTTATTTGTACCAATAAAGCCGAGCAGGAAGGTCATTTCCTTATACTAAGGATAGTAAGGTATTTTTATTTGGAATAGATTATCACTCCGAGACGTGTAAATTCAGATAATCATACTTATTAAACCACTTTGTGACTGCTTTCCAGCAAATTATAAGGGTGTTTGCACGTATCAGCTCGTGAAAATGACATACATAGTATATCAATTAAGTAGATATCAGGATTCCAAAGTATTTAATGAGTAGCATAAGCATGTTTGTAACTTAGAGTATCCCACTCACACGCCATATGGATATCATAAAAAACATCATACTAAGCACTGCAAAAATACCATCTGTCCAAATCTCTTATTCTAAAATGTCCGTTGGAAATAACCCAGCAGACACGCAAAGCGCATCAACATTTCACATATCGCACGGTAACTCTCCCGGGGAAGTTACTCAGCAGAATACACAGCTTTCAGAAATAATAATGAATCGGTTAGAATACAACCATAGAAAGAATCATCTAGATACACGTTATAACCATAGAAAGAGCCATCTAGATGCACGTTATAACCATAGAAAGAACCATCTAGATGCGCGTTACAAATTCCGCAAATTAAAAGCTCGTCGAAATCCAACTCTAGGTGTACAAAGCTCTAAAAGACCTCATAAAATTAATAAGAATATGGGACGAAAATGCGAAAAAACTTTTGGTTATACAACGGACTGAGTGGGACTCCATTATGATAAGATTCTAATAAGCTACTATAGGTTCAGATCGAGCCCTTAACTCTTTTTAACATTGTTTTTTTTCGAATGCTCAGTCGTTTTTTTTTCACAATGTATTAATATGATATATAATGATATTAGTATTACTTTAATAAAGAACCGCTAATTCATTTTTATTTTTTAATATTAAGTGGGTGATAATTGTGAATATAAATTTTTTACATGAGACAAATAATTATATAACGAATTCTAACTCTCCTCCACATTAGCTGGTGGTTGCTGAGCACTTGTAGCATCAACATGAGAGGGTGGATTTGTATTCACTGTGTCAGTATTGATCGTACCTCCCGCATCGGCATTGACATTGTCATCCACACGTGTTAAAGGTGTGTTATGAGAGGGAGATGCTGACCGTCTTCGACTTCTTCGACTATCAACGGATGTTCTTCGGCTTCTTTGATTACCCGGCGATATTTGGCTTAATACATGCTCAACTTCCCCAATAGATGGTGCGGGTGTATGATTCTCCTCAATTCCTCGTCGTCTACGGTTAGAACTATTCATATTACGGATTCTATCGAAATCATCTTCAGGTCTCTCCCAAAAATGTGTACGAAATTCGTCAAAATATTGTGCACCCAATCGATTTCTTCGTGCTCTACGACTACCTGCCATATATTCACACATCACCTAATCGGGTGGCTAAATTTTATTAATAGTGAAAGAGCTAGTATCTCTGATATATAAAACATATGTGTTATTCTCGATTATAGTGTGAACTTACATTATAACCCCAAACAAGATTCAAAAATTTTTCTTTACAATGGCCACCATTAAAACTAGTGTTGTGTTCTTGATTGATTCTATTTGCAATACTATTCCAAAATGCATTTCGATTTCTTCCGAGGTTATGGTACTCTATATTTCTATTTCTTCGTTCATTGATTAGGGTACGTGTTTGTGTATCTGTCCATTCTAGCATTTTTTACTCTCAGCGAAGCCTTGTTACGTTAATTCGTTCGAAAAAATAATATAAAACTCAACCGTAATTCAACCAGAGTTCAACCATAGTTCAACCCAAATTTATATTTATTATAGAATAATTAGTATTTTATTGAACCAAATTTCAACCAGAGTTCATACCGTTTTATGCTCATCATTTCTATTTCACGTCACTCAAAAAATTATTAAACCATCTTTATATAGCATTACATCCGAAATTTTGTATGAAAGAGATATGCTTCACAAGTTTATTCTTAGTGAAATTCATGATCGGCGAAAAACAGCTCCAATGAGCGACTCTCTGAGTCATGAAATCAATCAAAATGGATGTATATGTGAGAAATTGGGTCACACGAAAAACATGTGGATTCAGGATGATAACTTCGATCCGCAAAATGGAATGCACGTGGCAATAAACATGACCCTTTAGGTCGCCCCTTCGGGCTTTATTATAACAAAATGAAAAACATTGCCCGTAGCAAGGCAGATATAAAAAATAAAATTTGCGAAATACATATCGCTGTTACATGGCGTAAATACAAATAAAAAAAATCTATTTATCCTCCTGTACAAGAACGTGAAAAACGTTGGGAAGATCCCCATTGAAATATTGAGAAATTGGTGACTGCTCTTTTATGATTCGGTATTTTACTGGCCCCGGATGGTATGCACGAAGAAAAATATCAACATCATTAAATGGAGACGGTAACTG